GAGTTCCTTTTATTTATGTGGAAAATGTTACATCAGGCAATTTCGGTCTGTGAAATCCTACAGAAACATCACCTAAATATATCAGGCTTATACATGTTGTTTTGGTTGTCAGTATGATGAATTAATTGAGCGCCTCTTTTTCCCTTGCCCTTACTCGCGTTCGATCTGGTTCGGACGTGTCTCTCTATCAAGTTCCCAAAAATGAACTTTAAACAGGAGCATATGCCCCATGCCTTCATCTTCTCGCTTTCACCATATGCAGATCAATACTAACAAAGGATGGGTGATCTTGTTTATTTATTTTTTTCGGTTAGAAAGGATGGGTGATCTTATTGTTTAAACAGAAGCATTACAATTCTACTGTCTGTCATAGTGTGTTATATCTTCAAAGATTCCTATGGAAACGAAGACTTAACGCTGTTATACCACTTGATATCCTGAGTCGTCATGCTTCCTTGAACTGGATCCTTGCTTCTGGGCTCTTGACAAGAGATCTTTTGCAAATATGTTTTGTCAGGAAACGACTTCTCCTCTCTTCCTCTTGGTTCATCAGGCGGTTAAAGCAATGTGATAGGTACTACAAGATGTATCCTTTGTTATGAGAAGTTTCCTAGAAATTCATGACTATGATCTATACTATAGCATTTTACATTTCTATTATTATTTTCTAAATAAAATACGATAAATAGTCAATGTTAATCATAAAAAGGGTGTATATAAAAATTAAGGTAACTTCAAACGATTAAGTTTAGTGAGTTTATAAGATTATTTTATTTAAATAGTCCACACAATTAAAAATATAATAAGCAAGCTATAAAATAATTATTCCCTTTTAGTAATAGTTAAAATTGGTCAATATGGTAACATGGTTAGCTGGATTTGCTTATTTTAGTATTTATCTGTAAAAGCACATGTCATAGGCATGACATATAGAAATACTTCCCTAGTCCTATTTATAGGGCAGAGAGAGAAGGTTTTTTTTTGTCCTATTTATAAGTCACTTCATTAAATTTTCAACATGAATGTACTATTTTGTCCTTCATTTATTATAATGTAGATAGTTATCTCTTCTGAAAGGTATATATATTAAACATGGGTAAAGTTTATATTTTAATAGAGAGTTAATGTATTTTAATGTTTTTCTTAGTCTGAGTGAAATACGCTGAAAGTACCCTATAAATACGACCAGAAAAGTATAATATTATGTTTACTCATCATTCTAGATTTGTCATTTTCGACAGAGTCTCATAATATGCTAACAACTTAAATATTTATTCTCTGACTCCAAATTGGTATTAGATTTTTTTTTCCCCGATAAAATTGGTATTAGATAGTTTAGTCGCAACTCACAGTCCCAATTCCCAACTGAGTAGTTTGAAAAATAGTATTAATTTGCTTTAACTTATATTAATTTCAGTTACATTCAATGCATTTTCTGTTGTTTCTAAAAAAAAAAAAACATAGATGGATTCGAGGAGAAAGGGCTAACCAAAAGTCTTTAAAACTTTTGCTCAATTTTTTAAAATTTGGAGAAGACAAAAGTCGCAAGTTCCAAGAAGGAAATGGTAACGTGATTGTTTTGCGTTTTGTGCTGTGCTTCTTATAGAGTACTAGTTTTATATATAATTTAAAATGCAGCTCATGGGAAGGATGATCTGCATCTACTTATCTGTTCTCTATATAATGTCTCTTTGTTTTTCTCTCTTCTTCTCCACCTGATCTTTCTATTCATATCTGATTCTTCAACGTTTGGTTGGTGAAGTCACAATCCCATTCTGCTATTCTCTAGTAAGGCTCTAGTTCTTTGTATCATTTACTTTTTCTTTGTTGGCAAATCATCCCCTAGTCATCTTCAGATCAATCTACTTTTGTTCTTCACGTTTAATTGGGAACCATGCATGGTTTTATTGTCTATTCGGGATTCTTGTTTTGTCTAGTCTGATTTCCATATAGCTAGATATATATGACCTATATATAGATATATATCTCATTTACACCGCTTGAGTCTAATTTGAAGAGTTTAATTATCTGAAAAATATATCTATAAATTTGACATGTACTGTGACATTAAAAATATACCTGAATTCAAGTTACCCTTCTGTTGCAGCTTTGGTTACGAGATTGAGGACAATTCACAAAAGTAGACCTTGTACTAAGGGCAAATGATGAAGAGCTTTCTATCTCCCGCTTTACATTTGCGAGCGGTGGAGAACTTTACGTAGTGCTGCCACAGACGGCAGGTGGCCAACAGTCCTTAAAATGTACGAGGAAAAAGGGGAGCTTCGCACTGCCAAGATATCCCCGACAGGAGACACCGCATAGAACATGGCAGTGTCTAGTGGGAAAGAGCATGTGGTGGAATCCATGGTGGACTTAGTTTGTGGAGAGAGAATTAATGAGCAGGATGAGAAGGCATCAGTGGATGAAAATGGAGATGAGAAGAAGCCCGTCCTTGAGGCTCAGAATTAGAAAGCTAACACTCCTCTCCATTAAGCCGCTTTGATGGGGAATGTTAAAATGTGTAAGAAGATAAGTAGCGTGGATCCCCTCTTAATTTCTAAACGCAATTGCGCCGGCGAGACACCCCTCTTGATGGCGGCTCTCCATGGCAAAAGAAAAGCTTTTCTTTGGCTTCACTATCAATATACGGAAAGCCCTGGAGTTTGTTTAGCAGACGTTGCTCATTGCATAAGAAGGGACAACGACGACACCGTTCTTCATTGTGCACTGGAAAAAAGGCATCTTGGTAACAGAAGCAACTATCCATTTTTTCGTATATTGCCGTGTTTTAATTTAATGTATTATTCAACTGCATATGGTCTGCTTCGATTTTGCAGTTGTGGCAAGAGAAATAGTTCACCTTTATAAAGATCTTTTGGAAGCGATGATCAAGGGCAATAAGAATGAGTTGTTTCCACTCCATCTCTTAGCAGTAACCCCTTCAGCTTTCAAAAGTAGTGATCTTCCTGGTCAATCTTCCGTTGTTCAACTTCTTTTATCGCTGTAAGTACATTGTCTTTCTGTGATTTCATGCTTGCAATCATGACAAGTTTTTTTCCTTTTTTCCCTATAACAATCCTTTCTGCATATACTGTTTCACAATACACCTTTCCGTACACAATTGGAAGAAATTAGGTAGAGGAGCTCAAGTGTCAAAATCTGATAAGCTGGCTCCCATTCAATATATTTATGGAGTAATGTTGGCAAAACGGAATGCTTGTATAGAATAACTGAGTCATACGCGTGATCATCCCGTACCTAGAATCATCTGCACAAAATTGCAGTGTGGCCCTCATAGTCATTTGATGAATGTTAGTGGTGGGAGCTAACACGTGGTTAGATGAATTTGAATCAGCTAGACTTCTGATTTTTGGTTGAAGAAGAGATGGGGTCCATTTGGATTAGCAGTAGAAAAAGTAACTTATTTGCTGGGTAAAAGTTAATTTGGGTAATGTGAATTGTGTTTGGATTGGATTTTATAAAAGTTGGTTTGTAAAAGTTAGATTGGGTAAAAAGTTGTTTGAATTATGATTGAATAAAACTAAGTTTTATTGTAACATTATCAAAATGGGCATGAGTTTTATTAAATAGTGAGAGAATAATGGGAGGAATGAGAGAAAATTATTATTCTAACAATTTCTAACGGTCCTAAGCCCGATTACCACTTGAAAAGGTTACCTCCCCCGCTTAAGGTGAATCGCGCGTTTGGCCCCATTTTTGACCCCCAGGTGCGGTCTTGTACAAGTTCTTCCAAACAAGCTTACTTTTTGAATCGGGCTTCTGCTGCAAAATAAGCTACTTCTGACCCATAAATAGCTGTCCCAAACGCACATATTCGCACGATAAGAAGGAGAAGACAACCTACCCAGTTCATTTTTTGTTGTAGCGCCGAATACTTTAAATTGCTTGAACGTATCCTTATCGGTATCGTATCTGATGCCAAGATGCACAGATATTTCTTCAATATGTATTGGAAAAGTATCAAAATACTTTTTTATACGTTTAGGTTACTTCTAAAAACTTGGTCAATAATTCAAGACTTTTTTAAAATAAATAAATAAATAAATTTTTATTGAGGATTTCCATGTTATATCTCTAATTATTATCTAGATTTTGCATTTTTATCTTGCTATAAATCCTTACCAAGGAGATAAGTAATAGCGGAGATGTGTGGGATAACTTTAGTGGTGTTGAGAACTTTGAAATGACAAACTTAGGCCCGTTTGATACGTTGGAATTGATTTTGATGGAAATGGACGTGGCTATAGAGATGAGTGCAAAAATGAAAATAGAAATGGGGTTTAAAAATGTGTTTGGTATCTATTGGGAATTCAAATATTATTTTTATTTAACATTTATATTTAAAATGTGAAATTACAATATATGATGCAGTTTTGGGTAATGGGATTGAAGGAGATGAAAGAAAGGGGCAAAAGAATAGTTCATGGAAATTTTCATAATTTCATCGGTTATATGGAATCCATTTCCATGCCTCTTTATCTGTACCAAACATGCTAAAGGCATGTCCAATTCCATTGCCATTATGGTTTAATAAAACTATCATTTTCACATATGACAGCAGCTGGGAGAAAAAGAGATTACACTAATAGAAAAAAGTTGAAATAAAAAGAGAAGTTAGTTTTGGGGAGAAAAAGTGAGAAGAAATAAAAGTTAGAGAGAAAATGGAGCTCATGACTTGCCTCATTTTTTCCCCAACTTTTCTCTATATATGGAAAGAAAATAAGAAGAAAACCCATTTTCCGTTTATATGCTTCATCTTTTATTTTTATATTATATTTTTAGCATTTATTAATAGTGTTGAATAATGTATAATTTATTTATATCATTTATTTTATCTAATCTTAATAAATTATCCTTTTTTTATGGTAGCATAAAATATATCTTTATCAAATAATTTGATTTTAAATTAGGGAAACTTGAAAAAAAAATCCTGACATTATTATTTTCCAAATCAAGCACCTAAGAGTTCAAAATGATAGAAAAGAAAGTGGTGCATGATTTGGTATTATGAAAATATAGTTAAATGACTAAAATACCTTTGCATCATGTTTGAAAACAAAAGCTATCAAGCATATCATTGTTAGTACATTTTTATAATTGGCTATTCAAAACTTGTTGTCACATCCTGTCAAATTTAACATTGACATGAGGGATGAGAAATTTGGTTGAGGGCCAATGTAGAAACTAGACGAAAGGAGGAAATAACTTTTGATGTGAAACTCCGATAAGGTCCGGACTGGTATTTTCATAATTATCGGTCTAGGAAAGGTAAAATAGGAAATTTTGAGAAAAATTCTAGAAAATTTCTAAAAAAATGGGAAGAATATAAATTAGGGGTTTTGGAATCTCGATGGAGGCCCTAAAGGTAAAAATTATGGAAAAGGGAATTTTTAAGGAATTTCCCGAATATGGAGATTTTTCGGGAAAATAGGAAAAAATTAGAGAAAAATAATTAATTTAATTAGTTAGAGGCCTCAATAATTTTGAAAAAAATATGAAAAAATCATATAAATATTTATTTGAATTTATAAAATTGGTTTTATACCTTAGAAGCTCAGGAATTAACTTTAGAGAATTTTTTTCCCACAGTGACACCGATAGAGGCCTAATCAGGAAAAATTCAAAATAAATAGTTAGAGGTGGAGAAAAATTCTAAAAATTTTCATATAATATCTTTGTATGAAAAAGGTATTTTTCATGAATAAAAAAAATTTTTGGAGGCCTAAAAAAATTATAGAATGTTACTAGTGAATAGTAACTGATAAAGTTTTGAAATGGTTTGGGATTTTGAATTGGTTTGTAGGCCATATTTTTGGACCATCCTAAACCATTTGTGGGCCCCACATTGAGTCCAATTAAGGCCTCATTTCGTGGAACTTCTGGATCCTTCAATTTAATAGAGATAAATCCTATTTTTCATGTGATAATATTGGAAAATTCTAGTAAATGTACACATGGACAGATCTGAATGCTTCTTGCTGCTGATGGCTGCCAAATAACCCCCTTAGGTGGCAGCTTGGACGTCCAAAATGGGGAAGAGGTGGCAGATTTATTGCCTGTAAATACCTCCTAAAATACAAAAAAATGATAGGAAAATTGGAAAATTAAGGGAAGGTTCTGCCATTTTCGTTCCAGACCTGTAAACTGATTTTCTTGAGAGTGTTTGGGCAAGAAATCACCTAGCTTTCATCAAGGATACATCAAGGTATATTCAAGCCATGTTATAATTAAGATTCAAGCTAGTTTTGGTTTAGTTTTTGGCATGAAAATTTAAGGGAGATGCCGTCCATTTTGGTTTGAATGTATAACCATTAGGGAAGGATAGAAATAACCTTAAATATCAAGTGGGATAAGCATGTTTAAGTGGTATATAGATTAATTTTTGAAAGAAAAACCAACCTAGGGTTTATATGCTTCAATTCAACCAAAGGGAGAACTTGGTACAGTAGCTTGTTTTGTTGTGATTTTTTATTCTAATGGGTTTAATATATATTTTTGTGTAGGAAATTAGGAATATACTAAAAGGAAATATTTAAAATCATCGAAATCAAAAATCACAGGAAAACAAGCTATTGCATCAAGATTTATGGAAACTCCAAGCTTTAGTTCATAAAGCAGTATTAATTTATTATAAATATATAAAAACTTTAGGAAGAGTAATTAATCATTCTAGACCTTCACCGTCGGATCAATTAATAATAAAATATGGAGTGAATTACATCAATATTTTCTGTGTTTTATTCAAATTATATATGCTTTCTTAAAAAATTAAAAAAGCTTTTACTAAGAAAATTAAAAACACTTGGTTGAAAACGAAAATGTAAGTAGTTATACAAATTATTCTTGAATATTTTTATTAAATTACACAACCATTCTTTCTATTTTCAATATGCACGCAAGTTTTAAAATATAAATCGATTGCAAATATTTGTCATGGGCGATTTGAAACTACGTTGGTACTTTTTCTAATTTCACGAAACATTTGTGTATATTTAAAAAATAGAAAGGCATATATATTATATTAATCTAATTTTAATACATTTAAGAGAGATTTTTTTTAATTGAATCTTCATTTTAGAGGAAATTGTGTAAATTTTGAAACATAGAGGTGATACTCAAGTAATTTGAACAATTTTTTTATGATCAAGTCAACATTATCAATAATTCAATATGAAACATTTTATTATCGATGTAATCTTAAAAATCTTAAATTAAAATAGTATAAGTTACTCTTGCAAATTTTTCTGATTGTGTGGAAGTCCACGGATCATTGTTTTTTTCAAATAAAAAATAGCGCTATTTTACCTGTATGACACATGAGAGGACACAATTTATTATATCATCTCTGTCGACTTAGAAACTGATTTTTTCAATGGATCACATCCTATCCACATTATGATTGACATCAGAATTCGCCTAAATCTTCAATGAATTATGATCGATCAAGTTTCATTAAATAATTAGAAATATTAATTTTGTTAATTGCAGACATTTGTTAGCATGATTTTTCTTTGCAACAACAACAATCTAAATTTGTGATTTGGACTATGAATGATTGGATAGAGCCAGGGTCTAAAATAGTTGACACACCTCTAATGATTGCTGCTAAGAATGGTGTCATAGAAATGGTGGAGAGCTTCCTAAAATTATTTCCATCTACGATAGAAGTTGCCAATGAAGAGGGAAAGAACATAATTCTATTAGCCGTAGAAAAGAGGCAGACCAAGTTGTATCAAATTTTGCGCAAAAATGAAAACCTTGATAAAAGTGTATTTAGTCAAGTTGATAAAGACGGAAACACCGCATTGCACTTGGCAGCCAAGCTTGAGGTCAATCTAAATATGCAGACTGCAACACCTAGCTTTCTATATACTAACAGGGTCCATTTGACGTCTGTGAATCACTAGACGCTAGTGTTCTATTATAAAAATAGCAGAAATTTTTTTTTTATTTGAATACACTGACGAGTGGTTCACACACTTGAACCCTGCTCCTGTAGCTCATATGACAGACGCACAGAAATAATACTACATTTATATAAGTAGTTATACTAGCCATTCAGGACAATGACCTCTATCTGGGCATCGGAAGTGCATACCTCCTTATAGAGGATACAAAATAGTATAAATAATAGCAAGTAAAGGTTACTTGCTCTTAAACATCTAATAAGTTAGATAATTAACTATCAAACAATTATTCTATATGTACAAAAGTAGCAGTCATTCTTGCTCTTCATGCAATCCCACCTTCAGCTCTTATGACTTCCTTACCCTTGGAACTGCTTGCCCTAGCTGTATAATATAGGAAGGGAGGGTGAGATTCGAACGAATCCCCGTAGTAGTAATTTCCATCAAACAATTGTGCACATTACATAAAGCATGCAAAACAAGCCAAAGAGGAACATAACCTTGCAAGCTAATGCAATTAAGCATTTATGGGCAATAACAGATAGACAATATGATTAATTAATGCGCAAATAATTGGCAGATATTGCCCCATGTCTATCAGCTACACGTGATCATGGCTAAATAATCCATGCAAGGAAATAAGGATTACATGTTTTCATGCTTTAACAGCAATATGACACAAACAGACATGCAGTAATCATACACAAGTGTAAGGTAGGAAAGAACTACTACCTGAACCTTCCGCTTCAAAATCAAACCTTACTTGTTTCCTTTCTCTTAGCTTCTTCGGTGGGCTTTTGCAGATATCAAAACCTATTATATTAGTAAGGGTTGGTTAATACTTGATCCAACATAATTTATAAATTAAATAACTCTCTTTAAATCCCAATCTCTTTCAATCTCTACCCTTACTTAATAGTTGGTCATCCTGGACAATTTTTCGTATTTAAACTTTTCTCTTTGGAGAGTTTTCTTCCTTATCTCGACCCACACAGTTAGTTTACCTAGTAACTGGTCATCTTGGTCAAAAGCACTATTTCTATTTATTATAATTTAAGGATAACATCGTATCCACTTTTCCAAATCTGGCTCCACTTTTATTAAGTGGTTGGTCATTATGGAAAAAACTAAAGATATATAAATGTATATGTATATATATTACAATGTCCACAATTCCGCTTACAATCCCTATCTATTCATAGCTCAATCACATACACATATCATATTTATTCCATTCGATTACTTCAACTTCCCCTTTCGGCCGTACATAGAACAACAAAACCAGAGATTATTCAAACTAAAAAACTCTCAGCTAACCCGCAAAAGTCCAGCATATATATGCTTATATTATCAATCCTTCGTTTACCCATAAACCCGACAGCATTATAGCAGCAACTACGGTCCCTGTTTTCGGTAACTACAAGCAGAACAAGACATCCCGCATGCAATCATAAAAACCAACCCCCGCAACCAAACAAATAAGGAAACCGAAGCCAAAATTTGCAAAAACATGTACCCATGTTCGGCCATAAACAAAACAGAGCAAGAGAATCGACATGCAACCAGATTTATCAACATGCAACACCACATTTCAACCACACAAGATTCAATCTACAATCCTCCTTACATATATCATCCGTTTCCCTGACTTTCTCTCACAAAACCCAAAACTTCTTTCATCATCAACTTCATATCCGCCGCCAAATGCAGAAAACAACCGTGGAAGAGGATTAGCAGGCTCACCTTGATCAAGATCGCCGGTTGCATGCAAGGAAAACTCCTTCGATCACCCTCTCGCCGATAGCTCCTCTTCTGTCTTCTCTCTCGTTCTCTCTCTCTCTCTACGTCACAGAACAGGATGAAATGAAGGAGACGCACGGTGAGCTGATGGTTAGCGAAGGAGGCTACACGTATCTAAGAAAATTCATGGACTATTTTGCCCTCCAACATATTTATTCCTCCAATCTTACCCCTCTCCTATTTTTCTGAAATGTAAAATATATCCAGAAATTAAACCAATTTTCTCTTAAAATTATCTATTAAAATTATTTAAGCCACTTTTGGGGAAATACCTTTTCCAAAATGTCTCTAAACCCCAAAAATCAATATTCCATAATTTTTCCCAATTTATTTGGCAAATAAATAATTTTAATGAATTTTCACTTTTCTGCTCATCCTAAATCATAAAATTCGGAGTGTTACACAGACAACTACGATGGTAGAGGAATTCAAGTGGTTTCAGGTGCGTATCTATTTCCTATTAAAATTTATTTGGCTTTAGGCCGAAAGGTCTAATCGAAAGTTAAAATACTCATCATCATTTTAAGTCAAAGGTTTATTCAAAATGTCGGATAAATAAAATAACATGGTGCATATATAAATGGTGATGCAGTTTGTAAAAAATTCAGTGCCTTCTGAATTGTGGGAGAAATACAACAATGATGGGAAAAACGCAGAAGAAATGTTTAGAGACAGTTATGAGGAACAAATGGCAAGGGATAGAGAGCGGTTGAATCAGACCTCAGAAGCGTGTTCTGTGGTGTCGACCCTGGTTGCGTCCATGGTCTTTCCCAATGTGGCAGAAGATTTCGATGAAAAGAACTGCTTATCCCTTGTGGCCTTGTCCTTGTCCCTCACTTCCACAATCTCCTTTTTGGGCATTCTTGCTTTTCGATCTCAATCTCTTAACCTTTGGAAATACGTTCCTGTCATGCTTCATATTGCTATTTTTTCCATGTTCGGTTCCATTGTTTGTTTGTGGATCTTTCTCATGCTCCATGGCAAATCCTTTAAAACCTACGCAATTCTTGGTTCTCCAATCGCCTTCCTGACCATTGTCTCACTACCCATATTCATTGGTCCTACATTGATGTCTATTTTTACCTAGGTTCCACCCCCAGCCGCAAGACCACAAGTGCCATCTGTTACCGAAGGCCCCCAAAAAAGGAAAATAAAATAGATTTGATCCCTTAAAGTAAGTGCAAGTCTTACTATTCAAATGTGACAGGGTCATCGTCACTTTCATTTAAAAATCTTTTGTGTCTGTGATTTGTAGGTTTGTTTCTCATTTGGTTGCCATAATGTATGTGTAACAAGTATACTATTTCAATATCATAGTATTGTACGACTTGGACGTTTGTAATAATTTATTCCCTCGGACCTCACTTACATAGCTTCTTTCTCGGGGGCTCATGATGGTGCCAATCCGACTTGTGGCTCATTCATTGAGTCACAAGTTTGAATTGATAGGATGATAAGGGTGCACATGATGATCAACTGATCTCATTCAAATATATGCGTGCGCTTGACCAAATTGGGTCACTTAATTAAATTGTCGGGATAATTGTGTCTATAATTACTAAGCAAATATTATCTCCGGTCCTAATATAAGACTTAGTTCATTAATTTGAGAAAATTAAAGAAGTAAATGAATTACTTAATTATAACATATGTTACATGACCTCTCTAAAATACTTATATATCATTATTTGTATATCACTTTATAAGTTAGACAAATTAGTTTAGAAAAAAAAATATAAATACTTTAAAGTAATTTATTAAGTTTTTTAATCTTTCCAAATTAGTCAACTGGGTTTTATAATAAGGACTGGAGGTAATATTACTTAATTATTTGAATGATTCATGATTATATTGAAAGGTTGGGATAATTAATAATTATATGATATAATTTATCGTATATTCTCGGTGAAAGACAGGGTATGTAAATCAAGTTCCAACGGATAAGCGAGTCTATCAACAATTATTAGGAATAATAATATGCCAATCACACATTGGACCAACCAACGAACCTAGCATATGCATTCAGTGCAGTGAGTCAAATTATGCATAATCCAAGCGAAGATCACGTGCATGGGAGCTATGATGCGAAAATAAAACAACACAATGAACCACCCACAGATACTTGATGTTTTTATGGAGAAGGGGGGGATAGTTCACAGGGATAGCTCATGACCTGTGCCAAATCTCTTGGATCAAAGATGTATTGAAACCAACGTTGCTTGTTCTTGGGGCTGAGAAGAAGATAAAGAACACTCCTTTGCATTTAGCAGCCTCAATGGGAAGTGTTGAAATATGTAAGGCAATTTGGGGTACAGATCCCTTGTTAACTGCTATAAGCAATAGTGCCGACGAGACACCGCTCTTCATGGTAGCTCTCGATCGCAGCAGAAAAGCTTTTCTTTGGCTTCATTATCTATATATTGGAAGCCCTGGGGTTTCTTCAACCCGAAATATTCACTATACAAGGGACAATGAGGATACTATTCTTGGCTGTGCAATTGCAAGAGGGCATATATATTGGCAAACATAATCAATTATTCATTCTTTCATATATTGCCATGTTTAAATGTATTATCTATTCAAGTGCTTTGATTTGACAGATGTGGCAATCGAAATAGTTCACTTGTAATCATGCGCAATAAGAATGGGTTGTCTCCGCTCCATCTCTTAGCAGCAACTGATCTGATTCAAATATGTACCTCGACTTGACTAACTAGTAAACATTACTTAATTATCGGGATGATTCAAGATTATCTAGAGAAGGTTGAGACAATTAGTGATTATATGATAATTGATTTAGATGTTGAATTCAATATGGGCTATTTTATATTCTGAGTGAAAGATTCAGGGAATAAGGGACGCTATCCACAGTTAGTATGAATGATCCATTTCTAGATAAATATCCATGCAAGTTCCTTTTGTACCGATGAAGGAATTTTCTACAAGATTAGATTACTT